ATTGTTATTTTTTTTTGTAACCGCCCCTCTCAACAATTGGGACAACCGAGTTTTTGCCAAAATTGGTCAGTGTCTTCATCACTTTATGCAGCCCTGCTTTTTTCATTTTAAGTCCTAGTATTGCTTACTCAGAATTTATTTCAAAGAAATAGACGCTTTTTTGACAGTTCTCAAAGCTCTTCGTGCAGCTGTCACTCTCTAATTAATTTTCTCCAGTTATAAACTGAAAACTTCTATGAACGCATTCCTTTGGCGCAAGGACATTCGCGATTGATAGAGTCTCTAGTCATTATATAGCATTTATTCTTGCAAGTTTCCAAATAGCGATCGCTTCAAGAAACAGCGGAGACTCATTCGTGATTTTTTAAACTACAGTTAATCTAGCGAAGAACATTCGTAAAGGTTGCTATATGAGATTTTAACGCTAACATCACCAGTTTGGCATGTTGCCAATAAAAAGAAATTCAGATAATTTCAACGTAAAATAAGCAATTCCAAGCGAATTTTTCTTATACAGCGGAAATTCCTTTTTCGATACATAAAAAACTTATTCGCGTTCTTATTGTGTTCATCTGCGATTAGTTACTTTCACTCATTACAGCAAAAGCGAGTCGATAATTTGAAGGCAGTTAGACTGGAATGAGGGTTTGGAAGGCGGTCATGAATTCTTGTAAACTACGGTAGCATTTACAGTGTTGGGTGAGTCACATGATGGTGAGTACTCGCAGTAGGGGTGGCGAATGTGATTGCGCCAACCTCTTTGTCATTATCACTTAATGCCCAACTTGCAAAGGCGGAGTTAAGAGTGGAAAAAGAAAGAAAAACGAAACGAGAGAGTGAACGCGCAGACGCGGAAAGCGCAACAGAGCCGCGAGCGTGATTCGCGCGACCTGTTTTAGACTCGTTCCATCTGTACCTACTATCAAGAATATCGATTCACTCTATTATTATTGATTGATTATCACCAGGTTGAACTTTTTAAAATCATAACGTCTTCAACGATCTTAGCTTCACAAAACTTCATCAATAGAAACCTCCTTCTAAATCTCATAATCGATGTCTCCTTCTGACTTGCTCTCCACTATTTCCGAAATGGCCTAACATCCGCATACCGTAAACTCCTCTAAATATTGCCATATATCGCAGCTGAGGTGTCGCAGTGCCGCCTGTCAACGCCGCATTAGCACATAGAAAGATTTACAGCTGTAGAAATGCTCGCATAATTCCAACTTCTTGACAGCACTCGTTGCTGTGGTTAATTCTAACATTTTAATTCTAAATTTATTTTTAGAATAGCAACAGTTAAGCATAAACACACATAGTGAACATCTAAACATTATTTGAAATTTTTAGGAAATTCCTTAAGAGTTTGGTTAAGAATCCTAGAAGGCAATAACTATTCGTTTCGGTCAACTGTGAAATTTTGCTAAGATAAATGCTAGTGAAGGAAATTGTCTCGAAAAAATACGGTATCCATA